CCCACTGAACGATTGTTCATTCAGTGGGCTGGTTTATTGTGGAAATGTACTGTTTATAAGGTTGGGAAAACCTGCAGTCAGCTGAGACTGAAGAAGTCACTTGGATGAGTGATGAAACGTTTCTCCCATTGAAGACGCTAGGTCCAGATGACTGAGCATGGATCAACATTAAATGAGTGATGTTACCTGGTCAGTGTTGGTATCAGGTGTCTGCAGGAGCTGCCCATACCCAGAAGGCCTGGCATCAAATTTTAACCTTGGTTTAAGATCTGAACAACTTCGGGTTCGTTGCATAGCTAGAATTAATCGTTAAGAACTTCCGGTTCTTAACGGCAGGCTTTGTTTTGTTTTGTTTTTTCCGTGCATGGTTTAAACGACCCCTAGGCTAATCTTCTTATAATAGTGCAGACTGCTTTTAAATATGGAAACGGGGGTAGTCACAAGAAGTAAGAGAGTCACAACTCCGACAGATGAGGAAACAGAAAAGCCACGTGGATTGGAGCTACTCTCCTGACCTAAGGTTAGCCACGGAGGGCATGGATACAGCTGAGCCCACCCTCCCGAATATCCTGAAAGAGCTACGCGACTTCAGAAAAGACAACAACCAACAACAGGCGGATATTAAACGTGAGTTAAGAGGAGTTGATGCTTGAGTGGAAGAGGGACGAATCAAAGAGACTGAGACGGCGCTACAGGCGGCATCGTCATTAAATAAGAGACGGACCGTCAAGCTAGCCTAGAAGCAGCGCGCAGAGACAACCTTTGGATATATGGAATATGTGAAGATTAAGAAAGGGCCGACATAATTACATTTTTGGACAATTAATTGAAAAACACGCTGGGCTTTCCCAGTGACCAGACAGCACGTTGCGCTTTGACCGCGAAAAGCCCCGATCCATTGTGACGTTTGGGGACTCCCACACGAAAGAAGATGTTCTTCGGAGCGCATGGCAGAAGAAGGAGGTGCTCTATGAAGGGTACGATTTTTGCGGACCACTACTACCCTAATGAGGTCTTCAAAAGACGCAACGAATATCACCGCGCGAAAACCCACAGCAACCCGACAGCAGGAAGAGATTCAGTTGCCGTCCGCTTGGCGCACGGCGCGGTCACCAAGCCGGAGTGACGCCTGATCATACACAAGAAAGCCAACGCATCCAACGCGCTGACGACTGAAGAGTTAAGATTGTTTTACAAATCTGATATTACATCATGGTTATGGTCACATTACTTAGTAGAGTCGTTAACTCGGTTTCTTACTTCTCTTTTTTCTCTCTCTTTGTAATAACTGTGGAGTTTTTTTTTTAAATATATAACTATGTTCAAAAATTAGATCCCGAGTCAGGATGTTAGACAAACTTGTTAGGGTGTAGACATTTACTAGGGCCCTCCCTCAGCAAAGAGGGGGAGGCTTACCCCCTACTGGGACCTGGCCAACACAAGGTCAGGCAGGGCTCGTTTCTTCTTGGAAGAACTATTTTTGTTTTTATTTTATTTTTCCTAATCTCTGTTTTTATTCAATGTTTGAGTTCATTATTTTTTCTGAGAGAGAGAAACTGTCCATGCACAAGTTTAAAGAAAAGTATTTAGCACATTTTCACCATACGATCATGCAGGACATTAAGATGGTCTCATTTAATGTAAAAGGG